TTTTCGGCTTAAAACGCCTTACTATATACATGGTCTTTTTTTGGGCTAAAAACGCCTGACTATACATGGTCGTTTTTTTCGGCTAAAAACGCCTTACTATACATGGTCGTTTTTTCGGCTAAAAACGCCTGAACCGGCCCGCAAGGAGGTTTGATCAGGCCCGCAGGATAATTTAAAAGTGAAAAAATGCACAAAAGACATGGAATGAATATTTTTAATAGGGTGCAATTCGTGGAATATTCGCTCGACGGGAGACACTGTTTTGATCAGAGGAAAAGACAACATTGTTTTGATCAGAGAAGAAGACAACAGCAGCCTCAGTCTGTCACTGAGACAGACCCAACACAACAAGCCTCATTTCATTTTTCAGAGTTGAAGGAAGATTCTTCTTGGGTCCTCCGTGCCACAAGAGGGAGTAACTTGCTCATCGCCAGAGTCCACCTACGAGCACAGACGTACAGGCAACACTTTTTGCTCTTCTTCCTGTTATTTGCAAGGTGCTGAAGTCAAACTTTGGGCCAGCCTGAAAAGTAGGAGACGTTTACACTCGTTCAAAGCACCAACATGACTACTTTTTTTTTCTCCCCCAGGCAGCAGTAAACATGATCGACTTCTTGCTCTCGAAAGACCCAACAGTCTATCTCCCTGGTAAGTTTCATGCCCAACACATCTTTGTCTGCACAAGAAATTGACTTCGTGTAAATCACGGATGCCCTTTCCTCTCAGGTCAACACACCTATCCCATGTTCTTCTCAAGAGCTGACCACTTCGCCGCCCAGCAACAAGCAGACTGCCATCCAACTTGCAACTTTTTCCTCTGCTTTTGTGATTGTCTACTCTGCAAAAGAAATAAATCTTCATTACAAAGAACACTTCAACTCAACTTCATTTTTCAACACATTACCACAATCTAACTTTAAAAAATATATATATATTTTAAAAAACAAAATTATTTTCAGTTTTTTTCTAAACTTTTTTTTCCTGGATTGTTTTTTCCAGGCAGAAAAAAAAAAATCCAGGAAAGTAAGCGTGGCCTGGCTGGAATGATGGCTGATGATTCGCTGATAGCTGTAAAAGTGGGTGGAGCATGACGATAACATGCTGTGATTGGTGGAAAGGGGGAGTGGTTATGCATATTTGGCGTTCTGATTGGTGAGCTCTTTAATAAGTGCGTGGTTATGGAATTTAGAGCAATCTGATTGGTCAGAACTTGGAAAGTGTGCATGGTTATGCAAATTAGGGTTGTGGTTGTCCAAACGAGGGGCCTCACCGCGATTGGTAGATGTCAAATTGGGCTTGAGATCTATTTTAACTCAGCTGATCCAAATGAACCGGATCACCGAAAAGAGCCGAAAACCCATCACGAAGAGGGTCGGGGTTTTTTTAAAATGGTTTCAAGGGTTAGGGTTCCAAAGTAGGGTTTCAAACTAAGTTTAAGGTACAAAGTATAGTTTGAAAAAAGGGTTAGGGTTTCAAAGTAGGATTTAGATTTCGATTTAGGATCCTAAAATATGTTTAGGGTTTCAAATTAGGGTTGAGGGTTTTGCATAAGGTTTCAAATTTGGCTTTTGCTTTCAAGGTAAGCTTTCACCTTAGTCAGGTTTTCAATGAAGGGTTTCAAACAAATGTTCGAGCTTCAAAAAATGTCATACAAGCCAAGTCTGAAATTGTGGAGGAAAAAAAAAAGTCCCTCAAAAAGGTACATTAGGACAAAGTTGCAATGAAGCCAGACTGTTGTTTCGTGCGGACGCTTGTAACTTATACGAACGTCATGATGTACTTTTTATGTTTCTTCAAGGAGATGTAAGTCATTTTTTCACAGCTGAGTGCACTCACGCTAATGGATGATTACACCCACTCAACACTTGAACATCACCAGGACCGCATTTGCTATCTTTTTATATTTGTCCCCTTTTTGGGCAAGTGAATGACTGACTGACTGACGGCAGTCGCGTTTGCGCCGGCCTGCTTTATGACTTAATGGCGTTTTAGCTCTTCGGCTCGTTTTTATGATGGTGAAGCTCGAATGGTGAAGGTGAGCCTTCTTCAACCAGGCAATATCAGGGCAGAAAAAAAAATGGCATAATTCAACGATGCAAGAATAAAATCACATTCTACTGAAAGAACATGTTGAGTAAGAAGAGAAGAATAAAGTCTGCTTAATGTTACGAGAGTAAAATTGTCAAGTTACATAACCGGTCGTGTCCGGCCGTGTTGTGTTTTAGAATATTGACGACGCATAGCAGGATTTCTTGTATTGGCTGCATTGAATCGTCTCAAAACCTGACGAAAATGGCGGGAAACAAGGTCCTCCCGTCAATTAGAGCAGAGGTCCCCAAGCCCCGGCCAGCAGACCGGTATCGTCATTTGGTATCGGGCCGCGCAGAAAGTACAAAGAACTTACATTTCTTCTGAAAAAGTAAAACTGTCATGATCCAAGAATAAAATCACGTGACAGAAATCAGGTCGGAATTCTTTGAAGAAAAAGTGCTGTCGTAATCTTCTTCTCCTTTCGGCACGTCCCTTTTCAGGGGTCGCCACAGCGAGTCATTAATTCCCAACCGTTCCTGCAAACCGCCCTATCAACTCGCATGTCCGTCTTGGCAAAAGTTTTACGCCGGATGCCCTTCCTGACGCAACCCTCCCCATTTCTCCGGGCAAGTGACCGGCACCGGGGAACAGTGTACCCACAGGGGAGGGCACTGCTCCCCAGCGGCTGGGTTAAAAAGTGCTGTCGTAATACAAGAAAAAAAAAAACATCACTTCATTGATGTGTTGAATCTCAAGGATCGCTCTGTCCTGTTCCTGCGAAGTCAACCATCACACCCTTGTTATTCATAAAACATTTTTTATTTATTAATAAAAAGAATAAGGTGCCTGGAGAGTTTTCCCACACGGAGCATTCGGGACACGCACAAGCCAAAGGCGACAAGGGAAGACGACGAGCACCACATGAAAGTTTGACAATGGCAAAGGGCAAAGATTGCTGTACAAGATGAACAAACCATAACCTTCCCATTCCCACACTTTGTGCAAACAAACAAACATCCTTAGTCCTTAGAACCCCCCCCCCAACCCCCACTGTTTCATTCCACGCCCTTCGGAGGTTACACAATGAAATTGTCTCGCTGAGTCACTTCACTTTGAAAAAAAAAAAGGGCATTGTTAGCTTAAAACCGCAACAAAAGTGACTTAAATGGCCTTTGAAAGGCCCGGAGACACATCCTTTGAGGCTGGTGAACTGCATGTTCGTGTTAAAATGTGTCAAAAACATAATCGCCACTTACAAAACAAATAAATAAATAAAAGATAAAGTTTGGAAAAGAAGTGAGGTTGGTAGATAAGGTCGAAAGATCAATCAGTCCTTTTATTTTTTTCCCTTTTATCCCTCCTTGCTTGACAGTCATCACGCTTTGGCTGACCCCAAACACACACACACACACACACACACACACACACACACACACACACACACACACACACACACACAAAACAGTATTGTTAGCTTAAAACCACAACAAAAATGAAAAGGAATAACCTTTAAAAGGTCCAAACACGCAGACTATCCCGGAGCTCCACGTGGTCATCTTAAAAGAAGAATCATATTTAGAGCAGAAAGTGTCTCCTTTGGCGGCTGGTGGGCGGCGTCCATTTTGTGCGAGGCCAGTCGTCAAGCATGGTTCAGACAAAATGGCCGCCTGGATTCAGGAAGTGACGTCTTCTGCGTCGGGTAAACGTTGACTGTAAGAGTCTTCGCTGGCAAATCTCGCAACAACATGCCGCCAAAAGTCTCCGCCAAGTTTTGTGCAACAAAAAGGTCCGCTCGTGTCCATTTTTCATCCGTCCCGTTACACCGAGACAAAGACGTCCAGGTAGAGGCGGTCGTACGACTCGCGGAAAAACAGGATGAGCACCAGGCTGAAGATGCACGAGCCCGTCAGACACCAGTTCAGCCACGACAACTCTGTGGACGCGCACAAACACGCACAAAAGCAAAACAAGGTCAAACAGAACATCAGTTGGGACTACTCTTTTTTTTAGGCTTGTGGATAAGATCGGGATGGGTGAAGCTAGGTAGGGAGGCAGGCAGGTAGGGAAAAGGAAAGGAACGGAAAGCTCGTGTGACATGGCGTTGGCGTTTATGTCACGTGACTTGCGCTTGCGTTAGGAGCTTCTGACACACAAAAATGAACATGAACACAAATGATTGATGCCTCTCTCCGAAGGTTTTTGCAGGGAGAATTTCTTTTTTAAAAAGCATCGGAGCGTTCACGGCAGAGCGATCTTTGAAGACCTCGGCAGTCTTTTGGAGGCGGCTGCACGTCGCTCACTTTACACACGCTTGAAAACCTTGTCAAAATAATAAGAACGATGTAAAATAATCTACCGAGGAAGTGCCACAATCATGCCGCGTGCTGAACAGTTCCCGCGTGAGGGGAAGGTATTCGGCAGCACGACACGTTGACTGCCTCGACTTCCTGCCAATCCTCGGGGCTGCTTTGTATTCGTGCCGACACGCTCGGCTAAACGACATGAAATAAGAGGGCGACGGGAGCGAGCAGAAGGGCAGCGAGGTTCGCCGGAGGTTCTGGCCACGTGACTTGAGAGCGGCGAAGCCGAGCGTGACCGTGGCGGTGTTAAGATGGCCGCCGAGGGGAGTTCACGGGAGCAAGGTTGATTGTTTCCAATATGAAGAGCAGTCGGGTGTCGCTCTGGGGATTTTTTTTTTTTTTTTTTATTACAAGTGCCACACTCATCTGCTAGCGGGGAAGGGAAGGACGGAAGGAAGCCAAAAGATGGAGGTGAGGTTGGGTAGCTTGGTCAGTAAGTTGCTAGAGTCGATCAGAAGGGTTGGTAGGTAGGTAACTAAAAAAAAAAAAATTTAAAAAAAAGCAACTCCCAGATGCGGTTGTGTAGTCCTGCCAAGGGTGTCGTTCGTTACCTGTACAGTAAAAGGTGAGGAAGAAGAGGAGCAGGCCGGTGACGAGGTTGCCCAGGAAGGTGACCACGCCGCAGGTGATGCCTTCGGGGACCGGGTACACCGTCTCGATGAAGAGCTCGAAGAAGATGGGCACGCTGCTGTTGATGAAGATGCCCACCAGGATGCACGACGTGTACAAGATGGCTGCCAGATCGCGGGGGGAGGAAAAAAAATAATAAAACGTCACGGACAAGGACTGCTAACGTTAGCTTGTTAGCACGCACGCTAAGGTTGAGCGCTGATTATTTCGCAGCCAACTGGCTGTTCTCGTTCATAAGTGGAGCAAAGACGAGGATGCGGCTTGAGCCGAGTCGGAAGCGTACCCGCGCTGGAGGGGAGGTGCGTGAGCCTGCTGAGGCAGGTGAGCGTGAACCAGGTGGACGACAGCGAGGCCCCGGCCAGCATCAGAACCAGGATCGGTTTCAGCATCCCACGGATGGAGTCCGCAAACCTGCAAACGGGAACAAGGAAGCGGCTCACCGACGCGCCTGCTTGCATGCGTGTGGACTGTATTTTGCTCAGCGCCAGGTGGCCTCCCAAAGAAAAATGATGTTTATAAATGATGACGTTCGTCCTGACGAATAAACGGGAACGACGAGTTTAAAAAAAAATGGATGAGCGGCCCCGCTGCAATTTCTCCCGTCATTGAACAGGCGGCAGCGCTCGTCTTCTCTTCTCGGAGAGCGACTCGTCTCGCTTGTCTTTCGGGGCGCTTCATAGCTCATTAACGGCCGGCTGGCCTCCTCCGGGGGACGCTGGCTGCTGGAGGATTAGATCCCGCGCTCTAACTGCGGAAGAGCAGAGGAGGCGCTCCAGATAATACAAAAAAAAAAAAAAAAAACCTACCGCGAAGAAGCTAATCAAGTGCTAGAACGGCTTTGTCCAATGAGCTCGTGCCGTTTTGCCGCCGCAAGGGACCGCAAGTACCACCAATGGAAAAAGTTCCTCGAACTTTGAGTGTAAATGTTGGCCTGAGTGGGCGGGGCCTCGGCTCGCCTTCCCGACATCACGAGCGGCGCAAGAGAGCTTTTAAGCCGGGGGGCTTCATTTTGGAATCCCGGTTTCTTGGCTGAGAGGATCAGGGCCTGTGTATCGATATCCCAAATTCCGCCAAATCCGTAAGCGGCTTACCGCTAACTGATGGGAGGCGCTCTCAGTTTGACGCGCTCGCCGCTACGCGTGAGGAAAGTTCATTTGTTCTGCGCCGAGCACACTTGATGAACAAGGCACTTCCAAAATGGATCTCGACTGTCCCGTATGAGCGCATCAACGAATCGTTTTTGTTATGGTTTCAATCTAGGGTTCGGATTTCCAACCAGGGCGTCAAACAAGCGTTGTGGTATCAAATTAGGGTTTCAAGCCAGGGTTGAGGTTTCAAAGTCGGCTTTCCTGCGGTCATATTTCGGGAGGACGATTTTCAAGTCAGGATTCAAAGCCTTGTGTCGGGTTCCAAACTAGGGTTAAATGTTCAAATTATGGTTGCAAACTGGAGTTTCAATCGAGGGTTAGGGTTGCAAGTGTTATGGTGTCAAGAGTACGGTTTCGAACCCGGAGAAGGGTTTACAAACAAGGGTTGGGTTTTCTCATAAAGGCTTCAAAAAAGTGCTTGGGGTTGGAATTCAGCTTCCGAGACGGGGTTCGGGTTTGAAACGAGAGTCAGTGGTCCGGCGGCTTACCTGGCCATGGCCACCCCGAAAACACAGCCGCCCACCGTGGACCAGAACCCGATCCAGCCCGCATCCACCTGAGGGGAAGGACGAAAGGAAGACACAGACCGGTCAAAGTATTGCACATGGATGACTGGCACTGAAACTGCAAACTCTAAAAATTCAGCCCTTGAAGCTTGGTAGAGCCACAAAAAAAGCTTTCAAAAAGCCAAGCTCAAAAAGATACAGCAAGTCAGCCCTTTTTGGTCCGTAGAAGCCCACTGATAGTCAAATGTTTTGGAAGATTTAGCCAGCAAAGATAGTTTCACTGAGCAACATGAGATTCGGTAGGCATATTCATCATTGAATTGAATTGAATACAACTTTATTGTCAATCATGAGCAGACCCACAAAAAAAAAGTCTTGAGAAGCCATGCCCAAAAACACACAGGAAGTCGGCCATTTTGCTTTGAAGCGGCAACTAATTTTGGCCACAGCTGAAAACGGATTTCTGATAACCAGTCAACTATGTGGAACTTACATTTCAGTTTTTGTTGTTTTTTTTTTTTGTTTGTTTGTTTGTTTGTTTTTTTGTGTGTGTACTATTGGGGATGCGGATCACACTACGAGCAATTATTGTCGGGACACCTCCCGTTACTTTCTGCAACAATATATCAAGTTTATGAAATATATCCCGCTAGAGTAATAGCGAGGATGCCAAACGGTAATTGCATTCGCCCCGGGCAATGACAAAGCCAATCCCAATATGAGATTCAGACAATCCACTTTGGGGTCCGACTCGCACAAACACGGCAACGACACGCCAAGTGTGCCCAAAAAGAGGGCCAAAACTCCGCCGCTTTCAGCCGCCCCGTCCGCATCTTTTAAGAAGTCAACTCCTTGCTTGGGGAAGGTTGTTGGGCTCGTGCCGGAGAATAATAATAAGGGAAAGGGGATGGGGGGGGGGGGCGCCGCCACCCCGACTGGAGCGGCACCAGTGGCGTTGAAGGCTGTCGTCATGGTTAACGCTGTTTGGGTACAAGCTGTTTGATGTGAGGCGCGCTCGGTGGAACACGTTTGCCGCAGCTTGTGGAGGTAATTACATCCAAGAGGCGCTCAAGGCTCGCGCCTCGCGTCGTCGATATGAACCGCGCGGCGACAGGTTGCTGTCTGCGCCTCGCTCCGGGAAAGCGGCTATAAAATTGATGGTTGGGAAAATGTTTTCAAGGAGACAATGTCAACGGGTGGAGGGGAAAAAAAACAAAAAAAAAAAAAATGGGGATGGGCACTTGACTTTGCTTTGGGTGTTATTCTACGGGGCAGCAAAATTGCTGTTTTAGGGGCTTTTTACGACACACTAAAAGGCACCAAATTTGCAGGAGTGTTTGTAAGCCGCCAAAGTCAAAGTTTCAGGCGACATGACATTTGGTAGCGGTGTCTATCAGACCTACCAAAAAAAAAAAAGTTTCAAGAAGCCATGATTTGAGTAGGCGTGGGAAATCTGCCATTTGAGACGAACCCCTTGAGGGACAGCCGTTACTACTTTTCTCGTGATCGGGTTACAGCAGGCGTTGGTCACAAACAAAACTCAAAATGACTCAGTACATTCATTCTTTTGAAAACTGAGCCCCTGGCAATTTCATTCAGCGACGTGACATTTGGTGGGAATTCGCATCAAGATTAGCTCCACCAAAAAAAAATAAAAAATAAAAAATCTCAGGGAGCCACGCCTGACATTTTGAAGGTGTTATTCGGGCATCATTTTGGTCATTTCGAGGGTCGCTTGAATTCAGCTAAAAAAAAAAAAAAAAAATCAGCAACTGAAGACAGTCTCATAGTTATCATGAGTAAGTGCCACAAAAAAAGAAGAGTCGAGAAGCCGTGCCGACAAAGACACAGAAAGTCGGCCATTTTGTTTTTTTGAGGTGATTTTCTTTTTTTTAAACAGCGTCTGCTCGTCTGATGGCGCAAAATTACCAATTGGTTGAATTTTTACTAACGTGCTTGAGCAGAGCACAGCGGCAAAGCTTGACGGCTCGTCGTAAAACACAAAACTCTAATAACTCAACCCCACGAGGGCAGATCCTAACCAAACATCAATAAATCATTCGCGGTGGGTGGGGGGGGATCTTTCCAGTTGAAAGAGGCAACGTTGAAGAAATGCTTTCCCGCGTGTGAGCGGCCTATCGAAATTTTGGCAAGTGTTGCACAATGGAGCGGAAAAGGCAGTTTGTGTCGCCTCATTGTCATGCGCACGTGCACACGCGCGGCCACACAAAGAGGACGATCTGCGCTTGGCTCGCGAAATTGTCCCTGGGAGGGTTACGGCAAGATGGAAAACGTTACGCGCGACAAGCAGTGACCGAATAGTGCGACAAAAAGCCGCCGGCAGAGAGCCATCCTGAGTTATTTGTATTCATTTCAACTCAAGTGTGTGTGTGTGTGTGTGTGTGTGTGTGTGTTACAGACGCTTATTTTGTGTGGTCTGTTGGATACAAGTTGTAAGCTGATGACAATTGAGATTTGGTTTGACTATTACAAAAATCAAATAATGTCCCCTCCCCACAAAAAAAGTCGCGTTTATTTGAAATAAAGTTTTAATATGGACGATAGGGTTGGATATTTATTTAAAGTTGAACGAGAAAAATATGTTCCATTTTTTTCTTCTTCTCTTTTCATTTTAATGAGAATAAAATTCATTTTGGGGGTGATAAAAGAATGAAATTGTAAAATGATTAAAAAACATTTCTGATAATGAAGTCGTAATGTCCCTCAAAATATAAATGTAATTTTTTTGAATGAAGTTGTAAAATTGAGGAGGGGAAAAAAAAAACGACGGCTAAATGTACATATAGTATGAAGGTAAAGTCATAAATATTACCCAAATAAATTTGTAATCATAAGCATTTATGAGCATACATTTGTAAGGTTATTGAAGCATGACTTTATGAAAATAAAGTCGATGAAGAGGTTGGAAAAAAACTAAATAAAACTACAATCACAAGGCAAAAAGCAACAATCCTTGCTATAACATTTCAAAAATATGACGAGATTTTTCATGTTAATGTTCAACTACAGCTGACCGTCTGAACGGAGCAGACGTATTTCCACAAAGGAGCATCCATCCGTCCTACCCAAACATTGCGTGTGTGCGTGTGCGTGTGCGTACCTGGCTGACATTGGCCGGCGTGAGGATCATGTCAAGGACGCCCGCCCAGCCGGCGATGACTCCAGTGGGCACGGCGTACGCCAGCGCTATCATCAGGAAGCGGAGGTTACTGGAGGAGGACACACAAAAATAATCGGGGCGCTCGGCATCAGGTCACGCGCTTGCTTTTCAACGCCTCTTTGCATTTGAAACACAAGAGGGCAAAGAAGTTCCGCTTCAATGTTGTGTTGCCGTCCTTGGAACAAACATCCCCCCCCCCTCCTTTTATACTTGACTCCAGTTTGAAGATGGCTGCAGCGGAATCGTGGCTCACATCACATCCATAATGAAAGTGCTTCGGCTCTGTCCAAAGAAGACATCAAAGCCAGTCGCCAGTCCCGGTCGGCTGAGGCAAACAGCTCCGGGCAACAACACGTTTGTGCGCTGCAGGGTTGTACACTCACCCCAATTAACAAACGCGCAGACACACAAACACACAATCAACCACTGACACAAGCGTAACACACGCGTCACGGTTTTGGTTTCTCCCGACTAAGCGCCCACACACCCGCCCGTCTCATTGTCACACTGAGATGAACCGCGATCGTGGACTTTCCAGGGAGCAGCGCAAGGCCTCCTAAAGCGCAGCAAATTTCCGACGCAAGACTTCCTCATCTTTGAAATGCTAACTGCTAATGGCCGATTAGCACTGTCCACATGTCCCGACTAGCATCGAGGCTTTCAAGTCGACGTCGGCCGTAGCGCAATGACGCATTGGGAAATTAGTCAAAGCTAAATCGACACGCTAAGCTAACGCCGCATACGGAAGAAAGGAAAGACCGATTCTTTATAATGCTGCAATGTCCACGGTTTAATTTTGGCAGGTTGTCTTCAAACGACCACTGAAAACGGACAATGGTACTCTAAAATGGCCGCTTCGCATCCAAAACAAATTTCGGGCGTAGCTTGTTGAGACTTTTTTTTGTGGGTCAACATATGATGAGACCGCCATATAAAATGAAGTGAAACATCGAATTTTGGACACAATTTCCTCTGGGAATGACCATAAAATGGCCCCTTCAAACTAAAATGGCAGAAAAACATGCATCTTTTTAGACAAGAGATTCTGAAAACTTTTTTTTTTTTTTTTTTTTTAAATGAGTGTTCTATGGCCCCTTTCCACCAAACTGACAGGAGAACCTCGAGAGGCTCCCTTCGTCAACCGCTTGCAGCTGATGGCATCTGCAGAGTTTTAATTACGCGGCCAAACGTCGCCGAAGACAGGGGGCGTAAAGTTATGGTTTCATTTTAATCAAAGACACATCCAGCCCCGAGCTGCGGGATTGATGAGACCACCGCCGTCCCCGTCCCCGCCCCCCACCACCTTCGCTGTAATCACTTCAGCTTTGAACCTTGTCACGGTGATGCATTGATCTCCAACTCGGGTCCGTCAAGGACAAACGGCACTTAGCTGATGACACGTTCCGCCATCACGAGAAGGAGACACGTCCTGGTTTTCTTTAGCTGGCGGCTAACTAGCGTCCGCTTGTCTGCGCTGAAGCGAAGTGATACCGACTTTCTTCTGCGGCGGCGGAGTTTGAAAACTCAGACTCCAAAGCCAGTTACAGTTGGGAACGCAGAATTTGGCAGGTCAGGTTATCATGAGTAGACCCACAAAAAAATAATAAACTATGCCCCAAAAAAAACTGAAGAGTGCACCAATTTTATTTGAACTGAGCTTACTTCAGCTAGGAATCCTTCTGATTATTTTCTTCAAATTCAGTCCCTGAAACTAGTCCTACGGAGCACCATCAAATTTGGTATCAAGTCCTATCATGAGCAGACCTCCTAAAATGTCCGTGCCCCAAAAAGACAAAATATGGAGGTAAACTCGTTGAAACAACGTAGCTTCCGTCTCCATTGGGATTAGGTGCTGCCACATTTGCGAGCCAGAATCCACTCTCGGAGCTCGCCGCTTGGAGGCCTGATGCTGTCTTGCCGAGATAAAAAGCTGCCTGGAAGGCTGCCTATCACCGGCGGCCAAGCCGGATGACCTGGATAACTTGGCCTATCTTTGTCTGAAAAATGAGGATCCACAAGGGTCATTCATCTAAATGCTCCCGAGCCCACTGGGCCCGCAGTGAAGGTATCTCTTCACGGGACGCCGCCGGAGACGCGCTTTGATCCATGGCCGAAACCTCGGGCAATGCCGCTTCCTCGCAAAGTCGCCTCGGCGGAACTCGAGCCCTTGAAACTTTTTTTTCTGCGCGTTGCATGTCGGCTGTGCCTTAAGGATGGACCGACATGCGACCCACATGGAGCGTTATCATAGCGCTGTAATTAATCCGGAGGGGGAGACGGCATGTCTTTGATGAGGACCTCGGCATATGGCGAGGGGCGTCGTTAAACACTCAGTTGAATTCAACAGGCACAAGGCGCTACAGTGATTTACTTTCTGCTTAAGATGTGTGGCAAAAGCACTCGAAACACCTCAAAAAATGAAAATACATAATTTGACAAAAATTTCAAAATAAGAATTAAAAAAACTGCAAAAATATGAGATACTCATTTCAAAATAACAGATATTTTAAAAAGTGTGAGACAAAAAAAAAATCACACAAAGATTAGACCCCAAAAAATGTGTAAAACAGGTAGGTAATCCAAATATAAAAAATAATTCATATACTGTACTGTATAACATGATTCGGAAAAAAAAATACAAATACAAAATCTTTAACAAAAAAATCCATAGACAAAAATACTAAAGGAAAAAGTAACAAATATTGGGGGGAAAAATTCTGGCAAAAAAATATACAAAAAAAAACTGGCATGAAAAATCAAAAAAGACAAAATTTTATATATATATATATATGGCAGATTTGAAAAAAGACAAAATAATTTAAATATTGGGGAAGATATACCTAAGTAATATAAAAATTAGGCAAAAATACAAAAAGATTAAAAAAATACATAAATTCAATTAAAATACAAATGCATTCGCAAAAAAATGTGAACATATTAGAAAGAACACCACACAAATATTATAATACAATACTAAAATATTGGAATGTAATGGAAAATATCACTGTGTGTGAGCGCGTGTACGCGCTCACCTGAGGAGTCTGCAGATGCTGCTCCTGTAGCTGAGCCTTTGGCTCGCGGCGGCCACGCTGGGGGGAAGCGGCGGCCGCGAGGGGAAGTAGAAGAGGACGGCCACAAACAGCGTGGCGATGGCAGCCAACTCTGGAAGGGAAGCAGATGGACGTCAACATTTGCTCGTCTTTTTGGGAGCCAATATCAGATGTTCATTTAAAAAAAAAAAAAAAAAAAAAACGTGGGATAATATATCGATTTTATGTTTGTGGCCAACAATTCCATTTATGGTAATTTATGGGCCCTTTGGTGGCCAAATGTTGCATTTTGTCTTTGAGGATTTCAAAACCGATAGTACAATAGTACAAGAAATATTCGCGGAAAAACACCCAAATATTTAATTTTAAAAAATACATCAATATTTTTTTTAAATAGATGAAATTTTCCAAAGACATGGGACTTTTTGGACCAAAATATGTCAACACAGAAAAAAAAAAAAAATCATCAAAATATTAGCTCAATAAAACATGATCACAATATAGTGTTACGTTGCTGATCTGAGGAAACTCGAAAAATAACCTGCTGTAAGTTTTTGTCAATAATTTTTAGGGTTTTTTTTTTTTTTCTGTTTTGCCCAGCGCATTTATAATGGATGTCAGTTATATGCGACCACCCCGGTCCCTCGCCTTAACCGCTGTAAAGAACGACTAATATGACTGCGGCTGACTGAGGAACGAAGACGTCTCCATATCTATTGGTATGTCTGTATTATACTGCTCCCTGGTGGCCAAAGTGTGCACACCAGAAACAACACAAAGTCCACTTGAATTGACACTTGGCACAAGCTGTTGGAATATCGACACTTTTTAATTAATCATGTCATTATGTGAAGAACAACATTAAAGACAGGCATTTTGTTGTTATTTCCGAGGGTCTGGCGTTTTGTTTTAAGAGACTTTCAACAAGATGTGTTGTGATTATTTTTTGGTGTTTTTGTTTTTCCCCCAAATAGCGAGTCTCCTGAGCCGACCTCCAAAACTTTGAATGAGTGACGTGGAATTTAACTGGAACCAACGTCAGCCTCCATCTTAAGACAGAGCCACATGCTTTTAATTTTCTAAATCATTTAAGCATGACACTCCCAACAATCCAGCTTTTTTCCCCCCAGCTGTATGCACGTGAAGACTCCAAATTGCCTTCGTTTTGTGTCTATGC